TTATACAGCCATTTCCCCAAGTACTCACTGTACTGCACAGTCCCCAGCATCTTCTCCCAGACTCTGAATTTCAAAGAGCCCAGGTGTTTCGCCACATCTATCAGTGCCTCTGAAGCCAGCTCTGGGTCCTGCAGTGAGCACTGGGCTCTTCAAAGACAGTGACAGGCAGGAGTCAGTGATGCTGTGGGGTCTGAAGTGAGTCTGCAGCATCAGTGACTCCACTCAGTCCAGAAGACTTGCTGACTGGGATAATTAAAGTCTCCCACCTGCACTGGAGATATTATATTACTGTTCCTGTTTATTCTTTAAGAGACCTGGGGTCAGGTTCAGATCATTGCAGCTTTTCAATATTGTATCTTAAAGTAGCAATTGAATATATATATATATAAAAATTATTACATACTTTTCTTTGATGCCTTTGATAGTCTGAAAAATGGAAAAACCACACGTAAACGTTAAACAAAATCTGACAATATGGCAAACTTTCAGACATTTGTGAGAATCTCTGGGATTTCTTCTCTGAGGGTGTCTGTTTATACAGGTTGTATGTTCAGCGTGGACTGGGTGTGGTTGTATGTACTGATTCATAAAGAACAAAATTCTTGGCTGAGAATGGTCAGTTTGACTGAGGTGTTTTATCTTCTTATATCTGCTTCCGACACACAGCAGGACTGTTTGTCCCAGTCAGCAAACACACAGATAAATGCAGGAAAATCAAGCTCCTACCTTCAGGAAGGAGACGTCCTCAGCACCCATGGCCTTCTCAATGTCTCTGATCTTCTCTGACAGCGTGGAGACCTGTTTAGAGATGTTGTCAATCTTCTCCTTCATCCTCTCGCTCTTCTCCATCCCTTCCATTCTCAGTGTAGTCAATCTGGCCTCCTCTTCCTCTCTCAGGAACTGATGAAGTTCCTCAAATTCCTCCTTTATCTTCTTCTCAGTGTGCTGGGACTGACTCTGAAAGTGAGAAATGCCGTGTAAGTCTGAAGTTAATCTGTACAGTGAGGTTTTACTTCCTCAGAATAAATCTCCATACCTTGATGTGTTTGGCTGTTTCCTCAAACTCTTGTTTAACTTTTGTAAATTTCTTCAGCTTTTCCTTTAAAGTAATCAGTGATCGTCTGAGCTCCGCCTGAGATTAAATATACAGACGTAAAATGAGAAATACAGTCAACATATGACTGACATGCAATGCACAGCTTTTAAATTATTGTTAGAAAGACAAACAAAACTCAATCCATCCAGCTTCTATAACTGTTTACCATTATGGGGTTTTGGTGAACCTGGAACTGAGCCTAGGAAGTACAGGGCACCGGGCAGGGGATACCCAGGAAGTACAGGACATTGGGCAGGGGACACTCAGGAAGTACAGGACACCGGGCAGGGAACTTCCAGAAAAGGATGTCAGTCTATCACAAGGCACACGCAGTGGGTAACGTAAGTAGGTAGTCAGACATATTGATTTATATGCTGCATTTTTTAAGTTAGTCTAAACTGAGTGCCAGATGGAAGGGGTACAATTTCCTGATGCCTTGGATGACTTCTGTCTGTAATGACAGACTGAGTTTTACTCAACACCTGCCAATAGAACAGATCTGGTAAGTTTACCTGCTTACTTCCTGTTATTTTACTGGTCTTAAGTTTCCTTGAACATTACAGACAGCAGCTTTTTGGCAAGAATTGATATACAATCAGCATCTACAGGCCGCTCGAGAGAGTAAGCAGGTACCTGCACACCCCCACGGTCACCAGCGCCGTGTAGCTCTCGGGCTACAGGCCGGAAATTATGGGGGTGGGGGGGGTTTACCCTCTCAATAATCAAAACCAGCCAATACAACCCCCTGGACACCTATAAATGGGTGGAGCCCCCCCTTTCCCCCCAAGTTTCCTCCTACTTGAACAAGTTTGACATCTTTGGCGAGTTCCAGTGGACAGACTGTAATACCCCCCGGACTGATTCACCCACACCTGCAGTCTGGCTTCAGAGCTCTGCGTAGCACAGAATCTGCCCTGCTGAAGGTACTGAATGACATTCCTCTCACTATCGATTCTGGTTCTTCTGCAGTCTTAGTCCTGCTTGATCTCAGTGCGGTTTTTTTGACACAATTGACCGTGACATTCTTTTAAAGAGCCGGAAGTTGGCTTGCAGGGCCCATGTTAAAATGTTTTACCTCCTACCTGAGAGAAAGTAGCTGCTCAGTCAGAAAAGGTAACTGCCCCTCCCCCCCCCCACCCCCCATTTAATTGTGACGTCCCCCAAGGTTCAATCTTAGGGCCTCTTTTTGCTCTCTATAAAGCTCCCCCTTGGCTCTGTCTTAGAAAAATACAATCTTGTGCATCATTGTCATGCAGACGACATGCAGTTTTACCGGCCAGTTACAGATGATGGCCCCTGTTCTCTGAAGAACCTGTTCAATTGTTAGATTATATTAAATGTTGGATGGCGAGGAACTTCCTGTTGCAACAAAACTGAAATAATTACACTTGGCCCCCAAACTCTCTCACTAGCCTTAGCAGTGTGCTTGGTCCCCTGTCCGGAAATTCGCATAATAAACCTAAAATCCTTGGTGTGTTTTTGGATGTGTCATGGAATAGCTCCGAAATACATTTCAGATCTGCTGTTTCTGTATTCATCCCGCGGTCTCATAGCTCCTCTTCACAACAGCTCCTCTTGGTTCCTCACTCACGCCTCCAAGCTGAAGCTGACCAGGCTTTCTCTGAAGCTGACCAGGCTTTGGAACAGTCTCCCGTCCTACATAAAGTCCTGCTCTTCTATTGATGATTTTAAATCTAAATTAAAGATTCACTTTTTCTGTCTTGCTTTCAGTTCAGTTTCAGGTTCTCCCAGTGTTTTTTCAAGTCCACCATTAAGTAACTTTTAATTTCATTTTAATAACTCTTTTAATTTATTTTAAATACCCTCTTCCTTCTTTTTTCCTGTTGCTTATTATTTTACATTTCCTTAATTTTAATTGTGATTTATTTTTTTTATTAAATTTATTTTCTGACTTCTTGTATGCAGGTTTTTGTTTCTTTTTATTTAATATATATGTAAAATGTGTTAATTAATTATAGATTAATTAGAGATTGTTTAAAGATCTACCAAAGATCTATTAAGGCACATTAAGACACAATCTATTAAGGCACAATATCAGGCAGACCTACTCAATAAAAATGCCCACAAACCCAAAATACTATTCAGCACAATCAATTCCATCTTAAATCCTCCTGCTGCTCTAACATCCTCTAGAAAAGCTGAATAATACAGAAGAGAATGAGATTACCTTCTTATCTAGTACAGCTTCTTCCAGTGGACAGAGCTGGTGGTCTCTGTGTTTCCTTGCAGTCTGACAGACCACACAGATGGGCTCCAGATCGTTCTTACAGAAGAGTAGAAGCTTCTCTCCATGGAGACTGCAGCGAGATTCAGTCTTCTCTGGAGCCTCATTCTTCTCTGGAGCTTCACTCTTCTCTGCCACATCTCTAACACTCCTTTGCTGTAAATACGACTCCACAATGTTCCTTAAAACAATGTTGACAGGAGGATCTGTCACGGAGGACTTCCTCCTGCATAATGGACACTCCTGAGAACTCTTCCCTTCCCAGCACTTCTGCAGACAGACTCTACAGAAGCTGTGGCTGCACTTCAGGACGACAGGATCCTTGAAGAAGTCTGAGCAAACAGCACAGCAGAGCTCCTCCTCAAGGAACGAAGCTGCAGCAGCCATGTTACAGAGTCTGTTACGGCGCGTCAAAAGAGTCTGGGGAGGGGAGTGTTTTTTCTTAGTTTCACATTAACTTTGCACTTAAGACACACCTTTGTGATTATTAAACTGAAGTATATGAGTGAAATATCAGTATGTTCAGAAAAACAGCTAGTTTGACAGGTTAATCAAAGACACTAAAACTGGTCACTTTTTAGTTAAACATTAGCAAAAAAGAATTGATTCATGTTGGTGATAATTCTGCAAATGTGTCCCTTACGCCAATAACCCAAAGTGTAAACAAGTGCTGAATTATTTATTTAACTGCGTCAGGAGAAAACGGCGGCTCTAGTGGCAGGTATGAAGCTGTTGTAGTAGGTTTACATTCCAGAAAAACCTAACCATCTTGTTGTCCAGCATGTCTGGAAGGTAACAGAGCTGTTTGCCCTCCTGGCTGAGGGATGCTTGTCAATCCAGGTTCTCCACCTGCCTCTCTGCCTGCCGCTGACGACGTGAGAGGAGACGGGCGGCACAGCTCAGGACCATCTGATCATGGCTCAGGTTCATAAAGAAGACAGACTGACAAAGCAGAGAGAGGAGTTAGCAGTGAGCAGACTAGATCTTCCCTGGTCCTGATCTGCCTGACATCATGGCTGAGTCACATGACAGATCGGCAGCAGGCCTCACAGCCGACGTGCAGCAGGCCTCACAGCCGACATGCAGCAGTTTCCGTGCGGATCGGCCCTCGCGCTCAATGTCGGCACGTCAATCCTGATCTTCAGTCTTTCTTTGTCTTTGGGTATGGATGTTATTAAACACCCAGTGGGCTAGGGGTTCGAATCTCCCCTCTGCTCTATGTTTGAAGTCTGCATGTTCTCTCTGTGTCAGCTGGGTCTCCTCTGGGTCTCCTACCAGAGTAAATCATACACTGGACAAATACTACAGCAATATCAAAAAGGCGTACACCACAAGCACGAGGCCTAACTTTGGGAAATCTGACCTCACTGCCATCTTACTGCTGCCCTCACACACCAGGAAGCTTAAAGTTGAGCCAGTTACAGTGAGGACTGTGCCAAAGCGGTCAGATACGACACTGGCTGAACTGCAGCACTGCTTTGAGGTAACTGATATGGAGGCGTTTAGGGAGGCTACAGACAGCATCCATGAGTAAACAGAGACTGTTAGCTGGTACATTAGCTGCTGTACGTCCATGTGTCTGCCTCTCCGGACTATACAGGCTTTTCCTAGTCAGATTCTTGGTTTAACCAAGATGTCCAAGCTGAGATCAGGGAACGTGACACAGCCTTCAGATCAGGCAATAACCAGCAGTATAAGCTGACCTGTTATGCTCTGCTGAAATCAATCTGCTGAATCGATTCTTTCACAAAGGCGCTTGATTTCATACCCCTGTATTCAATGATTAAGAGGTGTGTCCCAATACTTTTGTCCATATCAGGTATGTATGTCTCGGTAGGTTTATGTACTTTCAGTTTCCTGTAAGTGTCCTGGAGCTGGACTTCAAATGGGGTCTCATACACTGCAAGCAACAGTCACAGTTCTCAGGTCATTGTTATTAATGATCAGTCTAAGTCGTTTCCCTGAAGGCCAAATTCCACTCCGCATTCAATTGCCTTTAAGCCTGGATGTGGACAAGAGTCTGCAAGCTGATTACCACTAACCTGAAGAGGTGGCTGTTCTTCTTACGGTCCTTAAGGGGCTTGATGGATCTGGTGAATTACTTTCACAAGCTGCCTCCTTTTTAATGTTTCTGTATTTACTAGCGTGTGGGTTGAGATAGTGTGTCAAGGGTTTTCGGCGAGTGCTGGTGTCTAAGTGTGAGCACCCATGGTGAAAGGGTGACCTCATCATTGGAGTGTATTGTGTGAAAGTGAGAGAGAAGGATGCACTTATCACAGCCATGCAGCACTGGGGACCTCATTTCTGTCAGCACATGCTGCTTTTAAAAAAACACTGTTACCCTTAGCGCCCCCTATGGTAGAGCACAAGCATTGCAGTCTGTGAAGCTCTCTTACAGTAATAATCATATTTATTATTTATTCAGTGCTGATAACATGATAATGTCACTGTCCTTCACTGTCCCCTGACTCTGCCTGCCCAGAGAGATGTGTGACTCCTTCAGGGCCTCAATGCCAGAGTCCCCCACTGGCTGCCCCTTGGACAGTGAAGCTCTCTCAGCCGTTACTGCAGGGAGTGACCCAATAGTCACTGGGGTGACGGGGCCTCGGGTCCCGGGCACGATACACTGGTTTATGATGGAGCACATTATGGGGGTGTGGTTACAAGGTCATGTGATATTTCATATAAGGGGTGATTTCATTAAGGTTACATTTACTGATGTGTGACTTTGGTAAAGTGTGGGTACTGTATAAATGCATCACAGGCAATAACACATTGATTAAGGCTGAACAGAGTTTAATGTGAAATGCTTTGAAAGCCAATCACCCCATTGCTGTAGGTCAGTAATTATCATTAAACCCAAAATAAAACATAGCATGTAATTACAGGGGTGTATTACTGAGGGCAGACATCATGTGATAATTAGGTCAGACACCTGAATTTGTACACATAAATTCTTTGATTTTAATAATATCATGTCCTGCCTTCCTATGAGACAAATAAGAGGATGACATCACTGTCACAGACACATTTACTGGGATGACATCACTGTCACAGACACATTTACTGGGATGACATCACTGTCACAGACACCTTTACTGGGATGACATCACTGTCATAGACACCTTTACTGGGATGACATCACTGTCATAGACACCTTTACTGGGATGACATTACTGTCACAGACACCCTTACTGGGCAGATCTTTAAGGCTCTCGGGTTGCTTCCATTATTATTTAGACATGGAGAGAAATATGGAAACAGTCTCCCAGTGAATGTGCCTGTAAAGGTGTAGATGAGTGACATGTCAGCGGGGTTGAAGAAGGACACCTCCCCCCTGTCACAGTCCAGCTGCACTCTGATCCTCTGCGGTTTCCTCTCCAGTTGCAGGAGGGTTGGTGATGAATCACGTGCTTCATACTCATCACCATTCCTCAGAACTACAACCCAGAATCCATCCTCTGTGTTGTATGTAATCTCCCCCTTCCTGTTTACAGACTCTGCTGCTACTCCTACATCCCACTCAGGTGTGTCCCCCACCTCCACCTCCCAGCTGTGTTTTCCTGAGTTAAACCCCTCAGATCCCAG